GTTCAGTGTCAGGGGATGTTGTTTCTCCTTAAGTTCTGTGTCTATAAATTATTCCAAAGAATCAACTTTTCTCTTTGGTGATAATTTCTAGAATTTTTCTGTTTCCTTTTACATTGATTTATGCTCTCTATTATTTTATTACACTTTCTTTGTGTAATTTCATTTTTAATTTTCTAACCTGTTTACTAGGTAGCTTAAATAATTGATTTTTTAGGTCATCCTACTTTTCTAATCAATACATTTAAAGTTTCAAATTTAGCTATTATTTAGAGCTATACATTTTCTTTTAAGTACTACTTTGGCTGCATGCTGCAAATTTTGAGATGTTAGGCTTTCATTATCACTCAGTTAAAAACATTTAAAAACTTTCTGTGGGGTTTATCACTTGAATTTTGGTTATTTAGAAATGTGGTTTCTTATTTAATTTTATCAAGAATTTTTTTTTTTTATCAGGAAAGGATGTTGGACATTGTTAAATGCTTTTTCTGCATCAGTGAAGATGAACATATGATTTTAAACTTTTGTTCTATTAATGTGAGGAGTCCACTTGTTGATTTGCATATGTTAAACCAGCCTTGCTTACCAGGAATAAATCCCATTTGCTCATAATGCATAAACTTTTGATGTGTTCTTGTCTGGGAGCATACTTGTTAAAGGCCTTGTTAACTTAAAGCCTTTTGAATTCATTTAGATTTTTCTTACAGTCTATTTTGACAATTGTTCCATGTAAATGTACTATTTCTATTAACACCCCAAATCAGGTGGTATAACCAAGACTAAAGTAACAGCAGCTCAAACAATGACTGAACTGCCATTTCTTTAACAGAGCCCAGGAGCCCAGGCTCTGTGCCTGTTCCATGCAGCTCTATGCTCCTCCATCTTCAACATCCAACTCCTATCTTGTGTTACAACATAGCTGCTCTAAGTCCTCATCCTCTTACCATCCAGCCAACAAGAGAGGGACAGGAGAAGTAGAAAGGATGCTCACTTTCTGTACAATACATCATTCTGAGCTTCTATCCATTGGCCTGCAAATAGTTCCTTGGCCCCACATAGCTGCAAGAGAGCCTGGGAAATGACTTGTGTTCAGCTTCAATTTGGCATTTCTAGTCCAAGAGATAGAAGGGGTAAAAGGTGACTGGGGCACTGAACTGTCTGCCATTGCTCCTAGAACAATGTTCTCACTTATTCAGAGAAAAACTCCTTGTACCAAAAAAAAAAAAAAAAAAATCTGATGACAATGTTTAGTTAGACGTGTTTATAAGCTCATGTGTTATGGACAGAGTTTACTCAAGAAATTATTTCCCAGTGCCAAACATGTGCCCCTAGTGATTTTACCTGGAAGACTTGCAAATGCTTAGCTACTCTTGCTTAGAAAGGTTATGATTCTCCTCACCAGGGACTCCAGAATAATTATTTCACTGTTTTTCTTCTTAGGTATCCTATGGTAAGAGCTGCATTTCCCCACTACATTCTGGCCTAGAGAAGCAGAGCCATCTCCTATCTTCTCTTGGGCTGAATTGATCAGGATATTTGGGGACACTTATACACAATGTTGGGAAATAAAGTTTCCAAGGGCAAGGGAAGTGCTATATATCTATGAAAATGAAAAACAACAGTATTTTCTCCTTATTCACAGAGTGTGAGACTGGGTTGGGAAAGTGCAAACTCATACCATTTTGTGAAGTTGGATCAGCCATATACGACTGCAGGTGTATTGTAAAATATCCATTCTCCAATTGGGTGGCTGATTTGGTTAATATCAGTCATCCAGATTGTGATGGTAAGAATCACTCAATACTCCTTCCTCCATGAAATAGAGCAGAGCTGGGGAGGGCAAGAGTTTCTGAGAGCTACTAATTCCAGGCCATGGTGAAAGAGCAGAGCTCTGTCCTAACCCATGTCCCTCATTCCTTCATTGTCCTTGTTGTCCAAGGAGACATTATCCAAGCCCATGACATAAAAAAACATCCTATGTGGACACCATGAAATTTATGTCTCCTATACCGGTCTCTTTCCTGGCCTTCTAAAAGATATCTCTAATTTTTTTCTGAAATTGTTTCTTATCTCTCACACACCTTAACTTCAATTCATGTGTCTATTTGTCTATGAGTTTATGCTGTTATTTTGAATGCCAGTGTAATACCAAACGCTTATCTCCAACCATGAGAAGCCTGGCTTTTACTATCCTCAATATGTTTCTTTATTTTTTCGATCATAGTAAAATTCCACATTTTGAGTTAAACGTATTAGATGTAAGTACTGCCTTATCCCCTAACTAGATGATTTCTATTAGTGACATTTAATTTTTATATACCTTCTCTGTAAATGGGAGTAATACTAAGATGTAAAGTGTTAGTTATGTGTTGCTGCAAAACCAGTTAGTTCCAATTTTAGTGGCTTAAACAACACACATTAATTGTTTCAATGTTTCTGCAGGTCCAGGCATGGCTGACCTGTGTCCTTTGCTCTGGAGTCTATAATACCTGCCTTGGGGTGGTGTTTTCTGGACAGTGGTTTTATTGGGTGGCTCAACTGGGTGGGATATCCTTCTGTTTCACTCACATGATTGCTGGAAATATCCAGTTGATTATGATCCCCTGGACTGAAGCCAGCAGTCCCCTTTTGGTGGTTGGTGGCAGGAAGTTATCAGTTCCTAGATCTATGGGAGTCTTTCTCTTGCTTTATTATAGAAAGCACCTGAATACATCCAGAGTGTGTGAATAAGACAACAGTCAGACTCTTTAATCTAATCTCAAAAGTAACATCCCATCACTTTTGCTATTTTCTGTTCATAAGTAATGAGAGACTAGGTCTAATCCACAGAAAATGGGAAATATTATACAAGAGTGTGAATACCAAGTGGTAGGGGTAACAGGAAGCCATTTCAGAGTCTGGCTCAGTGGGGTCATTCCACCTGGCACCTGTGAATGTGATCTTATTTGGAAATAGGGTCTTTGCAATATGATCAAGTCAGGATGAGATCACACGAGATTTGGGTGCACCCTGAATCCCACAGAAGTGGTGCTCCTATAAAAAGATAGAAAGCTGGAAACAGACACACACAGATAGGGAAGAGGGCAATATGAAGACAGAGATTGGAGTTTGGGGGCCAGAACCCAAAGAAAGAAGAAAATTGTTCACAACCACCAGAAGGTAAAAGCAGCCAGGCAAGATGATCCTTCCTTAGAAGGAACATGGTCCTAATGACATCTTGGTGACAAACTTTAGCCTCCAGATCTGTGAGACAGTATATTTATGTTGCTGTAAGCCACCCACTCTGTGGCCCTGTTACAGCAGGCCTAGAAAACTAGAGCACCTCACCTACTCTTTGTGATTATTAATGCATACAAAATACCTAGCTGTCCTAGGTACCTAAGAAGGCTCAGTAACTATTAGCTATTATGCTCCCTAAGCCTGCTATGGAACCTATTGCATTTCTGTAAATGAGACAGTGTAGATGTAATGTGTAAACAACTGGTTCTATATTATTAACTGAATTAACACTGATTGTTTCAGGAAGCCTTCCCTGCAACTCTGATATGCTTAGGTCCTCTGCTATGCATCAGCACACCATTGCATCCTGTTTATTAATTATCCCCCACACTCAATTATTTATTTGCTATTATTTGTTAGAATCAATCCCCTTATAAAACTTTACAGTGGAATACATTTTGGATTTCTTAGAGGGTAGTTCAGGTAGGCTGCAGAAACATCAGGGAAAGACCCAAACTGAGGGTGATTGGAAGAGTGAGAGCAGGGTGGGTTTTCTCCCTTATCCTATTTAATGGCTACTCTTCCTCCCATCAGGAAAGAGTAGTGGAAACACACAATCACAAGTGGATATTCAGGTAAGTAGGGTGAAGCCTGGCTTAGGTAACAGTTGCACCATCTCTCCACATCCTTCTCCTGCTACCACACAGCGATGGTTCCTCATAATTTTTAGGATAGAGTAGTTCTCACCTAAGGGTGATTTTGTCATCTTCCCCCAAGGTCACCTCTCAATGTCTGGGGACACTTGTGATTGTCACTACTTTAGAGCTGTTGGGAAGGTATTGGAAGAGACTAGGGACACAGTTCAGCACCCTACAATATCCAGGACAGCCTCCCACAAGCAAGAATTGACTGCTCTCAGATGTCAGCAGAAATTAAGACATTTTGGGAAAGACTAATAATCTCTCAGCCATCATTTGAAGATTTTTGTCAGTGTCTACAACCTTAAGCCCACCCTGTGTAGACGAACCTTAATAAATGTCATCTCCTGGGCTTACCTTACCACATTTATGCATATTCCTGCTTTCTGAAATTTCAGTGAGAATCCACCTAATTATCTTTATTTCTTTGAAAGGAAAATTTGAGAAAGGATGAAAGAAGAAAGGAGCTGAATACAGGTTCTGACTCTCCAAGAAAAGGTGGAAATCCATTGTTTGATATAGGTAAGAGGTGCTGAGTAGATACCTGTGATCTCATAAGCAGATCTGGGATCTTGCCTAGGCAGGCCCTATGATTTTCACTCTCAGAATTAGAGTGGAATTTTCCACTCTAATATTAATGAGTAGGATTCTCCTTTCAAAAATGTAAATTCATGGGAGAAGAGAATAAACCACCTCTTTTTCTTCTCCATTCCAACATCCATTAATATGGAGAAAATTATCCACATCCTACCTCGTCTGGTAGAAAGGGAAAAACTCTGTGTTAGTTTCTCCTGTACACTCACATAGGACAATACAGAATAATTCATTATTGGTCAGCAATGTATGGTGAATTTTTTTCTCCAGATTAAAAAGGAATTTTTAAGCAGATAGCTGGTGTCTAGTAATTCAATTATATATTATCTACCAGGAGATAGCATCAGATCCCACAGTTTGAGGGACTAATCCCACAATAGTGCCTTCACTCCAGACACCAATTGCAAGTCCCAAGTTGTAATCTGAACTTCTGACCACATCCAGCTACAAATTGTGACCTCACTCCTTAGGTTTGATTAATTTGCTGTCTGAGCTCAGGGAAAAACCTTGCTTACATTTATCCAGTTAATATAAAATACTACAAAGGTACAGATCACCAGCAGGCTTGTAGAGGTGCATACAACAAGGTATGGGAGAAGGGGGTGTGGAGTGTCCAGGATCTCCTTGGATGTGTCACATCCCAGTAATCTCCAAAATTTCAGCTAACTAGAAGCTTTTGGAGCCATGTCCTTCTGGATTTTGTTGGGGGCTTCATAAGTTCAGTATGATTGATTATAGTATTGGTTATTGGTATCAACTCAACCTTTAGTCCCTCTCTTTTACCAGTAGGTGGGGTGGGGTTTGCAAATACTGTTCTAGCCCTTTAATCTCATGGTTGGTTTCCATGGCAACCAGCTCCCATTCTGAGCCTATGGGAGCTGGCTGGCAGTCACCTTATTAGAACAGAAGATGCTACCATGACCCAGAAGATTTCACAGAATTTAGGAGTTGAGTCCCATGATTCTGATACTCAGGAAATTTAAAAAATCTTAAGAGCTGTGTGTTAGGTTCTAGGGTGTCTTTGCTCAGGAAATTACAAGGGTTTTAAGAGCTCTGTGTCAGGGACTGTGCTTGCTTCTTAACTTCTGTGCCTGGTAATCATTTTCAAGATGTGACTTATGGCTTTGTTGATTATTTCTATCATTTTCTGTTTTCTTTTACATTGATTTCTTCTTTTTATTATTTTATTCTACCTTTTTTTGTATTTCATTTTTAATTTTCTGATTTGGTAGCTTAAGTGAGTGATTGATTATTAAGCCATCCTCTTTTTCTAGCAAATGCAATTAAAGCTTCAAATTTAGCTATAAATTAGAGTTTCTCTTTTCTTGCTAAGTACTGCTTCCACTGAATCCTGCAAATTTTGGTGTGTTTGGCTTTCATTATCATTCAGGTAAAAATATTTTAAAATTTTCTGTGTCGTTTATCACTTGACCTATGGATTATTTAGGAATCTGTGTTTCATTCACAAATGTTTGGGACTTTTCTAGGTGTTTGTGTTAATGGTTTCTTATTTAATTCTATTGTGCACTTTTATCAAAAAATAATGTTGAACTTTGTCAAATCCTTTGTGTCCTTCAAAGATGATCACATGAGTTTCAACTTTGCTCTGTTGATGTGATGGACCCTAATGATTGATTTGCATGTGTTCAGCCAGCTTTGCATACCCAGGATAAATCCTGCTTGGTCATGTCATGATTTATATTATCTTTTTAATGTACTCTTATCTGAGAGTGTACTCTAAAATTGCAATCCTTTTGAAGTCATTGAGACTTGTCATATGTTCTATTTTCACAAGTGTTCCATGTGAACTTAATATCTGTATCAGTACACCAAATCAGGTGGTATAACAAATACTCAAATAATAGCAGCTTAAACAAAGGCTTAACTATTATTATTTTTAACACTTTGAGCATAAGCAGCTCAAGGCTGATGTGGCTCTTCCATGGCTCCTCTGTGCTCTGGTCATCTTCAACATTCAACTTCCATCATATGTCAAGAGACCCTCACTCTACTTCTACATCCTCTTGCCAGCCAGTGGGAAAGGGACAAGAAAGGAAGTAGAAGGGGTGCTCATTTTCTGTATGGCACATCATTCTGAGTTTCCATCCATTGCCCTGCAAATACTTAGATGGCTCCACCTCTCTGCAAGGGAGGCTGTAAGATGGCTTATGTTCAGCTTAAATTTAGTAGTTCTAGTCCCAGAGAAAGAAGATAATGGTGGGGGGAGGGGAACTGAGCTGTCTGTCAAGGCTCCTAGGATGTTTTTTCCTCACTTTTACAGAGAAAAACTCCTTGCAGAAAAAAATTCATAAGGATATCCTTACATCAGATTTAGTGTTTATAGGTTTATGTGATATGAATAGAGTTTACTCAATGGATTCTTCCCCAGTGGGGAATATGTGCCCCTAGTGATTTTACCTGAAAGACTTGAAAATGCTTAGCTACTTTTGCTTAGAAAGCAACTCCAATACCAATACCTCACTTTTGTTTTGCATCTTAATAATCCTGTGGTAAATGCCAAGTTTTCCAACCTATTTCCTACTCGGAGAAGCATAGGCATCTTTTGTTTTCCCTTGGGTTGGGTTGCTCAGGACATTTGGGTATACTTATGAAAAATGTTGAGCAAAATAAAGATTCCATGGGCAAGGGAACTGGTATAGTTGCATGAAAATGAAAAACAACAATATTTTCTCTTGATTCACAGATATCCATGCATGTGAGACTGGGGTGGCAAAGTGCAAGTTTATAACATCTTGTAAAGGCAAAATTGGACCTATCATTTGCAGTTGTGTGGCAAAATATCCTTTCTTCATCTGGGAGGCTTCTTTTCTTGATATTGGCTTTCCAGGTTGTTATGGTAAGAATCTCCCACAACCCTTTCCTGCTAGAAAAAATATGGAAGACATTGGTAAGACCTTCTGAGAGCCAGGATTGGGGGATGTTGGTAAAACCTTCTGAGAGCCAGGATTGGGGGATGTTGGGAAGACCTTCTGAGAGCCAGGGTGAGAGAGCAGAGCTCTGTCCTAACCCAAATCCCTCATTCCTGTGTGGCTCTTGTTGTCCAAGGAGACATTATCCAAGATCACGATATAAAGAACCACCACTATATGGTGGCCACCCCATCTATATCTCCTATACAGGTTTCTTTCCTGACCTTACAAAAAGATGTCACTAAATTTTTCTTCTGACCTTGTCACCTTAAATTCAATGTCTTTGTCTGTTTATCTGTCTATGTCCTAGGTCCTGTGAATTTATGCTGTCACCTCTGATGCCAGCGCAACAGTAAGGCTTGTCTCAGCCTCTTTATCTGTAGCTTCATTTTCCAACAATGAGACACCTGGCTCTTACTGCCCTCAACATGTTGACCTATCTGTTCAATCCTAGTATAATCCCATGTTTGGAGTTACAGGGATTGGATTTAAGTACTTCTTTGTCTCCTGACTAGATGGCCTTCAGATAAAGAAGTTTAATTTCTATATGCCTGCCCTATAAATCTTATAATATTAAGATCTACAGTGTTACTTATGTGTGCTGTATGACATTACCCTGCAAATTTAGTGGCTTAAACAACACATATTTGTTGTTTCAAAATTTCTGTGGGTCCAGGCATGGCCTAGCTGGGTCCTTTACTTCAGGCTTATCACAGCAGCCATCAAGGTGTTTTCTGGACTAGGGTTACATCTGGAGGCTTGACTGCAGTAGAATCTGCTTCCAAGCCCCTTTACATGGTTGCTGGAAATATTCAGTTCCTAGAAGGCACTGGACCAAAGACCTCAGCTCCTTTTAGTTGTTGGTAGGATGTAGTCATCACTTCCTAGATACGTGGCCTTCTTTCACTTGCTTTATTATAGCAAGGACCTGAGCACAGCCAGAGAGTGTGAATAAGACAAAAGTCATACTTTTATAACCCAATCACAGAAATGACATCCTGTCCATTTTGCTGACTTCAGAACCTGACTTCTGGTCTGAATGCTGTACTCCCCAAATTCATGTTCATCTGGGGCCCTGTGAATGTGATCTTCTTCATCAAGATGAGGTCATAGCAGATTAAGGGGGGACATTATGCCTCATATAACTCATGTTCTTACAAAAAGAGGGAAATTTAGAAACAGACACACACAGGGAAAGAGGCCCATGTGAAGACAGAGTTTGAGTTTTGCTGCCACAACATGAGGAATGCCAAAGATTACTGGGAGGAGCCAGGTGAGATGCTTCCTGGGAGCCTTCAAAGGCACATGCTCTTGTTGACCCCACTGATCCCAGGACTTTGGCCTGAGAGCTGTGAAACAGTATGTCATGTTGCTGTAAGACTCTATGTTATGACAGCCCTAGCAAACTAGAGCACCTCACCTACTCTTTGTGATTGTTAATGCATATAAAATACTTAGCACTCCTTGGCTCCTAGGAAGGCTCAATAATATCAGCTCTTATGCTACATAACCCTTTAACAGAGCATTCCCAAATTCTCTGAAATGAGATAGGGTAGATGTCACATGTGAACAGCTACTATATTTTAAGTCAGTTAACCCTGATTCTTCCAGGATGCCTTCCATGCAACCAGGATATGTTGGAGCCTGTTACTAAATATTCAGATTCAATTACATCTTAGTTAATAAGAGCATCACTTGCAATCACTTAATTATTTAATTACAATTATTTCCATAATGCCTTTTCTTCCAGACTACAAACTCCATAAGAGCACATGTTTTGTCTGTTTACTGTCCTATGTCTGTGTGGTTTAGCATCATGTGCAGTTTTGACTAGATATTCAATAAATACTGTTGACTGAAATATTAAACTGGAAGCCACATTCTGATTCCCTTTTCTAATTCTACTATGCAAAATACTTTGGGTGCTTAGAAGGGAATTAGCACGGTCTGCAGGAGCATTAAGTAAAGACTCAATCTGACAGTGATTGGAAGAAATGAAAGGATCGGGGCGGGTTTTCTCCCATATCTCATTTCATAGATGCTTTCTCCATGACCACCCCAGACAATAGTAGTGAAGAGACACAGACAGAAGTGAATATTCAGGTAAGTGTGGTGAATCCTGGCTTTGGAAAACTGCTGCAACCATCTCACCTCATTCTCCTGCTGTCATACTAGCATGGTTTTCTCTGATTTTTAGGATAGAATAGTTCTCATCCCCGGGGCAATTTTGTCCTCAATCCACAGAATCATCTGTCAATGTCTGCGAAGATTTGCAGTTTTTACCACCTTAGGTGTAGGGGAAAGATTTGATGTTGGTATCTAGAGAATAGAGACCAGGGGCACAGCACAGACCCCTCCAATTCCCAGGACAGTCTCCCACAGCAAAGAATTGACTGGTCTCAGATGTCAGTAGAAATTGAGAGATTCTTGGAAGGAGTGACAATGCCTCAGCTGTCATTGAAAGACTTGAGTCAGTGTCTGGAACCTCATGCCCACCCCACTTAGTAGTACCTTAATAAATGTGTCCTGGGATCACCTGACCACATTTATACACATTCCTACTTTATTAAATTTCAGTGAGTTTATCTAATGAGCTTCTTTTCTTTGAAAGGAAAATCATAGGAGAAAAGAAAGCAGAAAGAACTTTGCAACAAAGCCTACCCAACTAATCTGGACAGTGGAATTTATTGCGAGTTCTGTTTCTCCAGGAAAAGGCCAACATTCATTGTTTAATACAGGTAGTGGGGTGGTGAATAGAGCCCTTTGACTTTATTACAGAGATTTGGGTTTTGCCGTGGACAGGGCCTACTGAATTATAGAAATCAATCAGCTCCTAGAATTATTGTCTTCTATGCTAATATTGTATGAGTAGACCTCTGCTTTCAAAAATAGAAATTCAAGTGACAAGAGAATAAACTAGCTCTCTTCCCCATCATGGTGAAAATCACTTAAGAACATACCCACCATCCTACCGTTACTGGTGAAAAGGAAAACACTTTGGGTTATTTTCGTACTCTACTCCTACATAGTCAAAATGGCACAGAATACTTCATCTTTGTTTATGTGGATTTCTCTTCCATACTAAACAAGCAATTCTCCAGCAGGTGCTAGCTGGGTGTCTTGCAACCTAATTCTGACATTACCCCACTGTAGGTAGCTTCAGATCCCACAGTTTGAGGGCTTAGTCCCACAGAGCACCTTCACTTCAGATGTCAATTTAAAGTCCCAGGTTGTAACCTGTACTTCTGACCACATCCAGGTATAAATTAGAGTCCCATGACTTTACTTAATGTTTAATTAATTTCCTCACTGAATTCATGGAAGCACTTTACTTGCCTTTATCAGTTTATATAAAATATGTTACAAAAGATACAGATGAGCAACAAAATGGTGAGATGCATAAAACAAGCCCTGGCAGAAGGTGGCTAGAGCCTCCAGCCCTCCTCAGGCATGTCATGCCCCAGGAATATCCAAATTTTGAGCTATCTAGAAGCTCCTGGAACCATATTCTTTGAGATTTTGATGGGTGCTTTATTACTTAGACATGATCGATATAAGAGGCAGGAATAACTGGAAGCCTTTCAGAATCCAGCTTACTGGGTTGGACACTATGCTTCCCAAATTCATGTCCACCAGCACCAGTGAATGTGACCTTGTTGGGAAATAGGGTCTTTGCAGATGTGATCAAATCAAGATGAGATCATATGAGATTCGAGTGTATTCTAAATTCCATATAACTGGTGTTCTTATAAAAAGAGGGAAATTTGGAAACTGAGACACACACAGAGGGAAGAGGGCCTTCTGAAGACAGAGGTTGGGGTTGTGCTGCCACAGCCCAAAGAATTCCAGAGGTTGCTGGTGACCACCAGAAGCTAGAAGAAGCAGAGCAAGATTCTGCCTAAGGAACATGATGCCCCTGAAATCTTGATTACACATTTTTAGCCTCCAGGGCTGTCATACTGTAAATTTATGTTGCTTAACAGCACACAGTCTGTGGAATTATGTTAGGGTATCCTTTGCCAACTAACACACTTAGTTGACTGTTTATGATTATTAATGCATATAAGGTACTTATCAGTCCTAGGTATCTAGGAAGGCTCAGTAAATCTCAGCTATTATGCTAGATAAGCTTATTATAGAACCTTCTGCATTCCCTTAAATGAGGTAGTGTAGATGTCCTGTGTGTACAACTGCTTCTATAGTAGT